CGATTTTGTCCACCATATACTCAAAGAGCAGGGATGGTGACTGTAGTCACATATAGAAGCGCAACCATCTACCACATCCCAAACTCTCATCCCGCTTGAGCTGGTGACAAGACAGAGTCGAGATGACCGAGCGGGAATCAGGCTTAAGCCGCTTTCTCTAAGGCAGGCCAGAAACAATACCTTACTTAGTCTTAAGTAACTAGCCTTTTGTGCTAGTACTACTAAACTCATCTTCAGCTGGCGTCCAGAAAGACTCAAGGAGACCGAGTCTGATATTGCTACTACTGTTACTACTTTTTATACTACTGCTTACTAGCAGTGTAACTGAGTGATGGTACTGTTACTGACGCTGACAGTTGGTCAGAAATTAAGCTGATTAAAAGTTATCGCTGGTGGCTCATATCCCCTTGATCTCAACAAAGAGTTTAGACTGCGACGACTAGGATGCTGCTGCTAGGGGTGCTAATTCTGTTAATCATATTTAGTAAGACCAGTAAATAGTATACTATAATACGTGCACGTTGGAAATCGCAGGCTAGTATGCAGTCACAACCTGTATCGGGCAAATAGTAAACTGAAGGGGTAAAGAAAGAAACTTTTATTTGCTAATACTTCTAGGTCCACAAAGCCTTTAGGTTTCAATGTAAAGCCATTTGTCGTTGGATTTAAGGCACAGGGATATATACCCTTCTCGAAATTTATTGCAACGCGGGCGTTCCTTTCCTCACGTCCCGTCAAGGTGACTATACAAGTTATCCTTACTGGCAGAAGATTCGTTTGGTTTCTATATATATATGTGCACATTTAAGTAATTCGAACCTTGGGTTATAAGGCAAGTCAATTAAAGAAACTATTCTAGCTATCGATAGCAAGGTTTGATGAAAACAGTTGTGTTCGGTTGCTTGCGATACATTTTTGAGAATTCAGCGTATGTATATGCGATAGTTATTGAAGCATCGGGCAGTGTTGATGCGGGCTATTTTGTTTTGCGATGAGGTTATGCAGAATGAGGTGTACCTGTGATTAACTAAACTGCACAACTTTGTCCATAGTCTAAGTATGTATGCTGCCGATCTTCGGTCTTATCAGACATCAAAATGCCTGCCATTATCGAGCTTAAAATTAGAAATTGGAAGGACAAATGACTACTAAAAATGCCGCGTAGGATGTTCTTGTAAAACAAACTAACTGTCAAATAACATAAATGAAAGAAGTGAGAAGTAATCGTTAGTATTCGCAAGAAGCCGTAGTAAACGTCGTGCAATCGTGGGAATCTAACCCAGAACGGTAACATTACGATGGATATGTATCTCTTCAGAAGTGGGTCTGTTTTTTTTCCAAATTCTACTCCAGTTAAATTACAGATAAGTTTCACTAAAAAACCTAAAAAATTCGACTGTTCACTGTAAGTCAGTAAATATTAAGTAAGCTGCGGTTCCAACGTACTACGCCCATATATGTACACGCCGGGTCGGTGGCTGAAGAAACGTTTATATTAACTGATTTAGCATCATAATTGTTTTCACAACTTCGGTAAATTCCAAGGACGCAGTTCAGAGTGTTTTTACTTAATCCACTTAACTTGGTACGAGTTTGGAGGCTCGAGTGAACATCTGAGTTAAACAGAGTGAGTAGAAAATTACGTCCATTTTTGAGGTAAAAACGTATGTTACGCGCAGGCCTAAAACCCGTTAATAGTGCACCTCCCTATAACAGGCTTAGTAAAATCAGTCCACCATACAAGGTAACTGCGTCAGTTTTTCTGTTCAATACATTTTTAGGAATTCGCCAGCGGGTCGCTATCAACTAAAGTTATCTGTTGGTGGCCGTGACAAATCCAGTGTTAATCCCAGTTCCATGACTGTTTTTGGGTTGTCGAAGTGGGGGAAATGCGAGGAAGACTATAAGGGCAAGGAGCAACATTAGAAGCATCTTCTCTTCCCCGTATGTTGCCGACACCAGCTGTTCGTGCTCTGAGACACCAGTACGTCGGAACAGTTTTGGAAGAGCAAAGTCTCTCAGGGAAAATTATGAAAGTGAGATGAGGTCGGCGTTCTGCTTTATTTTCTCAAACGGCTAGCGATGAAGCGCATCAGTCTGTGAGGAAGCTTTATCGACGATAACAGTGAATGTTGTCTGTTCTTTAGAAAAACACCTCCTCGTCTCTTAGTCGCTGTGGTCTCATAGAAATGTCAACGTGACTGATTTTCAATCACTGGTATGACTGGCCGATGACGCCCAATAAGCCAGAAATGGCCATTTCAGTCTCCCCTGCCTTTTCCGGCGATACTAACAGGTCTTTCGCCAACCAGAGGTTTGCTCGCGAAAAGCTATGATGCTCGGAGAATTCCTCGACGAAATGTTCTCTCATCTAAAGGGAGAAATCATCCCACCACTGGGCTATGCTTCATGGTTCCGGTCTCGCAAGTGGCCCTTTGTCAAGCCCAAATTGAATTTCTAAAGCGAAATTTCACTGATCTTCAGACCATAGACATTTAACAGTCATCAAATTCAGGAAAGATAAGTGTCATGCAAATAACTTGAGACTCTTCCTCTCCTAACTGCAAGTCCTGAATATTTCACTTACCCAAACCTATTTAATCAAGAAGTCTCCAAGGTTAGAAGAAGAATACATTTCCCATCTTGATGTACTCAGTAGTGGTAATAATAGCCCTTGTTTCCGTCCCAGTAGGCTACCTAAAGTGGTGATCTAGAAAACTGAGCGACTTCGTAGCTGACCCGTCCAACTATCGAATTTGGTTGGGTCTTCAGCCCCCACACTGAGGCAGTTTCACCTAAGGACCACATGGTAGTTAATATTTTGTTTCGTACGTAATCAACCATACGAAAGCTAGATCGCACTGTTGCATTCACGCATCACTCGAACGTCCAATTCAGTTGACCCAATTGGGGAAAATTCGCGGCCTCGGTGCGAGTCGAGCCCACACAGCAGGGAAGGCTTCTGGGCAGTTAACACTATATCATCGAACTACGAGGCTCGCCGTGAGCCGTGAATTTGATCACGCTTGGATCGATTTTACCCGCCCAACTTACTGCTCGTATGGAATCCAAAATTATGGAACAGCAAGCTGACTGCCTAGGTCGGATTTCCTAAGCAATCGTCTAGAATCCACCAGAATGACTACCACGCTCACTTAATTCTTTGGGGGATTTGCCAGATTTGCTTAATTCAGTTGACCCAAATGTGAAAAATTCGTGGCCTTGGTGGAATTCGAGCCCACACAGCAGGGAAGGCTTTTGCGCAGTCAACTCTCTACCATTGAGTCGCGAAGTTTTCACAATAGGGTCAACTGAATTAAGTAAATT